TGCACACTAAACTGAGCATGTGCAGAGGGGCTACAGGCTCAGTCTGTCTAATCAGTGCGGACATTTGAACAAGATGAGGGGCAGAAAAGATGGGATCAAACATCCTTTTTACACAATGCAGAGGATTAACCCCTTAAGTTCTACAGTGATTATAACAAGCATGCTTTCTGCATATACAGACTGATTTTACTGTTGTGGGTTTAGTAACACTAAGAAAAAGCTGTATGTTGTACAATGTCCTAGTAAGTCTGGTCCCTGAATGGGAGTGTGTGTTCAATCTAATCAGCTGATCAACTTTCTGTTCTAATGAGGATATTAGTGTATGGCCACATTTATACAACTAAAATGAACTAATCGTGCTTTTGGTGCCATTAATTGTTAACGGCACCCAAAATGTGGAAGCAAAAACACATATTGCTCCATGAAAAAAAAAAAAAATGGGAGGCAAATGCAGAAACACACAAAAACCATGCAAAATGCAACACACCCAAACATCCCATGTGCCGCTTTGCTGGCTATAGGGGAGCCATTGAAATCAATGGGCTGCGATATGCATATCCTGTAGGAAAAAAAAAAAAAAAAAAAAAAAAAAAAAAAAAAAAAAAGAACCAAAAAAAAAACGTATGGTCCCACTACGTAAGGTGTGAATGGGGCCTGAAAATTCAAATGTTAATGGCTCCCAAAGTGTAGTTAACAGACTTTGTTGCACAACAAACGTGCTGCAAACGCACCAAAAAGCCAGGTAAAGGAAAAGTAGCATGCTCTATGCAAAAGAGTTCTGAAGCTTCTTTGGAGCATTTGTCATGCGTAGTGCAGTCCATTCAAATAAATTGGCTGCCCTGTGTGCGATGAGCAAAAAAGCTCTAAAACAACCCTCCCCCGAAAAAAAAAATAAAAACTCACATACAGAGATATGAATGAGACCTGACAGCTGAGTGTCTTTATCCACTAGCTCCTATGTACATGTATAAAAGTGGTCACACACTACACAATCTAATTGTACAATTACCTTTAGATTTACCAAAATTATGGAATAGGGGGACCCACCTATCTATCCATTCACTCTGTATCTAATCAGGCGGCCCTTGCATTATATCAGGGGTAGCCAACCAGCAGGCCACATGTGGCACCAGAGTTTAGCATGCAGCCTGGGCCCATCTGGAGGGATGCTGGGGAAGCCATGCAAATGCACATGTGGAAGAATGCTGGGGATGCTGTGCAAACGCAGTTGATGGGTATTTGTTTTATTGAGGTCAGTAAACTCTTTCCTGTGTCTTACTGGCTTCCTTTCTCCTAAATCCACAAGCCAGTAAGTGATGAAGCTTTCTAAGGCCCCATGTACACCGGACACTTCTGAACAATGGAAACTGACTGCTGGAAAATGTAGGTTAAACTTCTTTTTAGCTGCATTTGCATAACGTGTTTATGCACGTTTGCAAGCGTTTTTTTTTTTTTTTTTTTTTTTTTTTTTATAGAGAAGCACAGGAGAACCTCCCAAATGCCCAGAATGCACTGAAAAGTGGTAAATTAACTATTTCAGAGAAATACAGACGAGAAGCAAAGACAGCAGTACCTGTTGAGATTAGCTTAGGAGTGAGTTGCTCATTAACATTTCTTGTTTCCAAGGGTGGGAAAGGTGTCTGCTGGAGTGAGTCATTAGGACACCCGCCAGGGGGTCCTCATGAGGTTTTGATGTGTGAATGCCCATTAACAGATCTATTGTTACTAAGGGTGGGAGAGGTCTGAGGTGTGAATTGGTCATTTCAATGTGTGACAAGCTTGGTAGAAATATCCTGTTTTCAGTGCTTTGTCCATCTGAGTACCTTGAAAACGCTTTGCATGCATTTTTTCATAATGAAAAAAAGGCTTTGGACAGCATCGGGAACTGGAAGAGTTAAAAAAAAATTTCAGACGCAAAAGCTTATAAACATGATTTTCCGCATTTACAATCGTTTTGCATTTGAAACGCTGATAAAATAACTGCTGACCGCAAGCTTTCTGCGGTCAAAAAAAGGACTGTAAACGAAGAGGTGTACATGGACACATAGGAAAACAGGGCAAGTTCAGGGGCTGCTGAAAAAACCGCTGAACAGCTCCTAAACTGTAGTGTACATGCGGTACACTACAGTTTAGGACAGCTGCAGTGGATGAGGCCTAAGAAATACAGCAAAGGTAAGACATTGTTCTCAAAAATTGAAGGAAATGTTTATTTTTCTGCAACATTTGGTATATTGGTACACAGGGGAGCTGGAAGTTAAAGGCTAAGTGCACTTTTTTTGCTTGCTCTAACTACTTGAGTGGAACGTTTTACCCCTTCATTAACAATTGTGCAGTCATGCAACAATGTATGCAAAAAAAAAAATTTCAGACTTTTCACACAAATAAGAGCTTTCTTTTGATGGTATTTGATCACCAGTTTGTTTTTTTTTTTTTTTTTTTATAAAAGACCAACTTTTTTTGGGGAAAGAAAAAAAAAAAAAAAAAAAAAGTGTTTGCTTTCAGTTATCACACACACACGGAAAGAAGTATTTGATCCCCTATTGATTTTGAATGTTTGCCCACGCACAAAGAAATTATCAGTCTAAAAAATCGATTTGGTAGGTACATTGTAACAGACAGAAAAGCAACACAAAATTCAAAGTAAATGCATGACTAACAAATTATGCACAGATTTGCATGTTCATGAGGGAAAGAAGTATTTGATCCCCTATCATTCAGCAGGATTTCTGGCTACCAGGTGTCTTTCATAGAGGTAACAAGATTAGAAGCAGTCTCTTAAAAGGAGTGCTGCTAATCTCATTTTGTTACCTGTATAAAAGACACCTGCTCACAGGAGCAATCAAACAATCAGATTCCAAACTCTCCACCATGGCAAAGACCAAAGAGCTGTCCAAGGATGTCAGGGACATGATTGAAGACTTACACAAGGCTGGACTGGGCTACCAAACTATCGCCAAGCAGCTTGCTGAGAAGGTGACAACAGTTGGTGCAATCATTCACAAATGGAAGAAACGCAAAACAACTGTCAGTCTCCCTAGGTCTGGGGCACAATGCAAGATCTCACCTCGTGGAGTGTCAATGATCATGAGAACAGTGAGGAATCATCCCAGAACTACACATGAAGATCTTGTCAATGAACTCCAGGCAGCTGGGACCACAGTCACCAAGAAAACAATTGGTAACACACTACGCTGACAAGGATTGAAATCCTGCAGTGCCCGCAAGGTCCCTCTGCTCAAGAAAGCACATGTCCAGGCCAGTGTGAAGTTTGCCACTGAACATCTGAATGATGCAGAGGAGGACTGGTTGAAAGTGTTGTGGTCAGATGAGACCAAAATCAAGCTCTTTGGCATCAACTGAACTGGCCTAGCCAGTCTCCAGACCTTAATCTGATTGAAAATCTGTGGAGGGAGCTGAAAGTTCAAGTTGCCAAATGTCAGCCACCAAACCTTAATGACTTGGAGAGGATCTGCCAAGAGGAGTGGGACAAAATCCCTCTTGAGATGTGTGCAAACCTGGTGGCCAACTACAGGAAAAGTCTGACCTCCGATTGCCAACAAGGGATTTGCCACCAAGTACTAAATCATGTTTTGTGAAGGAGATCAAATACTTATTTCCCTCATGAACATGCTAATCAGTGCATAATTTGTTAGACATGCATTTCTTTTGAAGTTTTTTTGTTGCCATTTTGTCTCTCAGTGTTACATTACACCTACCATTTGATTTTTTAGACTGATCATTGCATTGTGAGTGGGCAAACATTCAAAATCAGCAGGGATACACACACACACACACACACACACACACACACACACACACACACACACACACTATAGTCAGCTGAAAACGGGTCACAGGAGGGCACAACGAACTGTACTTCTATGACCTACAGGAGAAGTATAGCCAAAAGAGCTTTGGCCCTACTTCAACTCCTTGCCACTGGCCGCACCCATATATGCATCCTCTCAGCGGGTGGGCCTCAATGCCGAGAGTCCACATATAAGCGTACCCATAAAAAAACAAAAACTCTGCCAAGAGCACACACACAGTGCATACTCCCAGCAGATTTCCCTTCACTTCCTGTCTCACAGCCAAACAGGAAGTGAGCGGAAATATGTGCAAATTAAGGGAATTCCTTAGGGACCCCCAGGTCACCAGAGCTGGAATCCCCATAGGAAGACCCCACTATTACTTTTCTGGGAACAATCTAAAATTTGGAATTTTCTTTTACTTTCACTTTTAATGATAATGGTAAACAGAACAAAGGGGGAGGAATCTCCTAAAAGGGGGCACAGACAGCTATATAAAACTGACAAGTTCTAATCCCTCTCCACTCTACCCAAAACTAAAAATATTTTGCCTTTAGTTATACTTTAATGATAGAAGAGCAGAGAACTCCTTTATAATCTGCTGAATTACTCATACAGCTACCCACAAGCCCACCCTGACTTTCTTAGGCAACTTCCAAGAGCCAGTCCACTAACAGACCATTAGCTGAGGGCTCTCGGAAGAAGTGTGGCAGGTCAAGCCTACGTCAGATGGTAAAGGTGCAAAACTCAACAAATCTAGGAAAATTGCCAGTGATGCCATATTCCATATAAGCTGCAAAAACTACCAATAATTTGATCTCAAGCCCTTTACATACATCTGATAGAGGCAGTGAGCCATTTCACACAAGCAAGGAGAGCACTAAAGACTGATGGTATGTCTATGCAAGATACAGAACTGACATTTGTTGCAGGCCAAAATAGAAAGGAAATTCTAATGTTTATTTACTAATTATGTTTGTAACAATACTCTTCAACAAAGGATTAGTGTAGGAGAAGTACACTTCCAGTAATGCAAGGCCAAACAACAAAGTATCAAATGTGGTATCACATAGCAACCAATCACATACAAACGGTCATTCTCCCAAGTTTGAATCAAACTGACTGCTTTGAGAAAAAACACAGAGCTCCTACTGCAGACACTGGTTTATAATATATGCAACGAGTTCTTACCATTTTTGTTTGCCTTCATAATCGAAGAAACCTGGCTTTGAAGTAGTGCATTTCCCAACCTTCACCTGCCAAGAAAGATAAACATTGTTCAATGTTGCTATGTATTCAACTAATGGCTCAGGATCACGCAGAGCATCAAATCTTATCCCTTAAAGAATACCCATAATTAGGGCGGAACATGTAACATGCTGCAGCAGCTGCCACCTCTCCCTCTGATCCTTCTTACCCCATGACAGCAGACAGGGGATCTTCTCTCCCTGCACCCACTGTCATTTTTTCATTTTTAGAAAAAAAAGCGCAGCTGTGCAGTGCGTTGCCCACACAGAGAAAACTGACCTCACAGATCTATATTAGAACAAATATTATACTCCTGTTATTGAGTAAGAACTTGATAGCAGGGGAGTGGTGTTGCTCCTGAAACGTGTTGGCTGTTTTTAGACTTTCTTCATCAAGAATATTATTTCTTCCAGTTTTGGTCTGGCACTCCTTACTGTATTTGTATGGTTTGAGCTCCTGTTGAGTGCCCATTGAGGGAGGCCCTTGCTGTGTGGGAGCCACCTCACCCGGGCTATGGAGCTTGTTTGAAGTTTTTCATCTGACTACACTTACAAGTCTGAAAGTTCCCAGCGCCTAAGACTTATTTTACCAGCAACTAAAACAATTATGGATTCTCATCTGGTTTTAGTATTTCTATAGTTACAGATACAGAATATAATGGCTGTAGGAGGCAGGGGACACAAGATGAATGGACCTCTAAGGCGCATCACCTGTTGTCCCTGACAAAGTGCGAGGGGCTTTAAAGTGAAAGCGGGACTTTTAATTTTATAGGTATATAAAGGGATGCTAGCATGGCGGTAATACACGCAGTAGTAAGTGGCAAGTATGTCCTATTGATAGGTGGCGCACATGTCGCAGGCCAGTCCAGAGACCATTCATCAAGATGGCAGATAAGAGTGATAGTGTGTGCACGGAACAGCATTTGATGACGTTTCTTGCGAACCAAGGTGTAAAACCCATGGATATCCACAGAAGACTTCAAGCACAGTACTGTGATGAGAGACACTCAGCCGCAATAAGACATTTGAATGGTGAAAACATTTCAAAGATGGCTGTACGTCCGTCAGTGACGATCTTGGCAATGGAGGTTCCCAAGATTCTCTTCTCTGTGGTGCCACTGTCAACAGTGAATATTACATTTGTGTCCGGAGTGCTGTGCATACGAGTCTGCGGAAAAACAGCCTGGATTGATCATTAAGGGCGTCCTGTCTCTCTAGCACAAACTCGTACTGCTCACCACACAAGGTGCACATTACAGCAACTCAGCTGGGAGGTTTTGCCACATCCCCCTTACAGCCCCGACCTCGTTCTGAGTGATTTCCACCTGTTTGGACCTCTAAAAATGTTCCTCCGAGATCAGAATTTCAGCACTGATGATGAAGTGAAGCAGGCGGTCCTAGAATGGTTCACGTGTACTGACAAATCTTTCCAGTCATTAGCTAAACGCTAGCATACATGTATAAGTGTGTAGCAGGGGAGTATGTTGAAAAAAAAAAATGCAGTTTCCACTCCTTAACATTTGTCCTTTTATTATATAAACTTAAAAGTCCCGGTTTGACTTGAATGCCCCTCATACTCCTAGCAGCCAGGATCATGCTAGCACCTTGCTAGAAGCAGAAAGTGGTTAACATGATTATGTCAAACTGGTTAATGACAGACTCACTTGCACCCTCTGCGATGATCTTTCTACATTTCAGAAGACATGGGACCCTTGGATTGCATACATTTTACTGCGGATCAAAGTGGACGGCCCCCTTTTCTCTTCCTTATAATGTGGCTTATTGAGGCACCTTTTTTGCTCTCTTTTCCGCTTGTTACTTTAGGCTAACTTGGAATTTACTTTTGGTGAATATCACTTTTACTGGCACCCTAGTTATACTCCAAAGGTAGGTACCCCTGCCTTAGGGCCTGCTCAAATTGTGCCTTGTGGTGCCTCGGCCCTACCTTTTGCCCTCACTGTGTGTTGAGTATTGAGTACCTTGATGTCTGATTTATCAGGAGGTTGATTTTATTAGTACAGTCATTGTTACTGCTGATATGGATGCCAAGTGGGGGCACACGATTGGTGAGGAGGATCCCGGAGGGGGGGGGGGGGGGGGGGGAGTGGGGGATGGGTCTGCCTCATTATCAGTTTTATCCATGCCTCGTGTTATATGTTTGCACCTGGCATATACATTAAAATGGGTGTAGGAGGGGACACATGGAGGATGTCATATAGGAGGGGACACATGGAGGATGTCAATATCTGCTTGTACTTGGCATAACGTATTTGGAGGACGTAATAATGTAATGTGGCATAAAGTATAGTGGGGCCACATGGAGGATGTCAGGTATAAGGGGGCACATAGGGGATGTCATTACCTGGCATACAGTATGGGGGAGGTAGGAGGGGCCCGCATGATGGAGGGCACCAGGTGGGAGGGGCCCCACATGATGGAGGTCACCAGGTGGGAGGGGCCCCACACGATGGAGGATGTCATTACCTGGCATACAGTATGGGGGATATAGGACAGGACGAATGGAGGGCACCAGGTAGGAGGGGCCCGCATGATGGAGGGCAACAGGTGGGAGGGGCCCACAAGGGAGGTGCCGCATGGAGGGCATCGGGTGGGAGGGGCCCCACATGGAGGATGTCATTACCTAGCATACAGTATGGGGGATGTAGGAGAGGACGCATGGAGGGCACCAGGTAGGAGGAGCCCACATGATGGAGGGTTTCAGGTAGCAGAGGCGCACAGGCAGGGTGGCAGGAAGGAGGGGCCCACAGGCAGGGTGGCAAGGGCCCACAGGCAGGGTGGCAGGGGCCCACAGGCAGGGTGTCATTACCTGTTTGTACCTGGCATACAGGTAGAGGAGTTGCTCTGTGGTGGCCACATGTGCCAGGTTCTGGGCGTGTTTGGCGGCCTGCTCGAAGTGAGCGCTCAGCTCATCCTCCTCGGGCCGCTGCTCCAGCAGAAAGTCCACGATGTCCCCGCACCCCCCTGAACAGGCCTCCCCGGAGCTGGAATCCTCGAACACCTCAGGAGACGCCATGTGCGGAGCTCACACACACCCCGCCTGCATAGTCTGCCGGACCCCGGAAATGGACCGACACCTGTCTCTGCACAGCACCGGCACCGAGTGACATCCGGGTTTTTAAACTGGTAAAAGGGTACCGCGCATGTGCAGAGCCCAGTACTGGGGGGAAACCGACAATGCGGTGTGCGCATGCGCGGTGCTGATACCACGGGACTGGCCGGGTATTGTGTGCTGTCAGTGCAGTGTCATGTATACGATGTGGATAATGATGATGTCATCACAATGAATCTAATATAATCATCTCTTCACATTCTATGTCCTCATCTACATGGAACACGACATTCTGTGACTGCAAACACCATCTGTCAGCTCTGAACTGCAGCTCTTCCTTAGTATAGATCAGTGTTTCTCAACTCCAGTCCTCATGGACCCCCAACAGGTCATGTTTTCAGGATTTCCCTCAGATGAAACAGCTGTGGTAATTACTAAGGCAGTGAAACTGATCAAATCACCTGTGCAAAATAATGGAAATCCTGAAAACATGACCTGTTGGGGGTCCATGAGGACTGGAGTTGAGAAACACTGGTATAGATCTATATACACACAGCGTGTGTCGGGTGGACTGACAACTCATGGGGCCCCTGGGCAATAGGGGATCATAGGGCCCCTGTGTCATCGACCAAACAAAAAAGCATATGAAAAAGTTACCAGGGGCATCTCATGGGGCCCCCTACTGACCCCGGGCCCTCGGGCAATGCCCGAGTTTCCAAATGGTCAGTCCGCCCCTGGCGTGTGTATATACACAGTATACATATACACATATTTTATATATATATATATACACACACATATTTGCAGCAGCAGAGTGTTGTATTAGCCATCAATTTGGAGTGTAAAGCCCAACAAAATGCTCCCTTGCACTAGGACTGTGCCGGCACCGTAAGGGTTAATTTCTGGTTTAGATCTGGAGCAACAATGAAAGGGGATTTCCTTACCTGATCCTCTGCTCCCCTCTGCAGCTGAACTGCTCCCTGCAGTGTCCTCTCCTCTAATCTCCTAGCACCCCAACATCATCAAGACCAGAGCAGGGTCCATAGCCCTGCATTGGATGTGAGCATACCAAAGGACAGTCCAAACAAAGAGCATGGGGGAGCTCCATCTGGCGATGGAGCAGAGGATCGGGTAGGTAAACCCGTTTCCTCCTCTCCCATAGGCTAAATGAGTAGTTAACCCTTGTGGTACAGTCACAGCCCCACTGCGAGGGATCATTTTACTGGAGTTGGGCAGCAGAACTAAAGTCACAAGCCTTCCTTCTGTCTTCCTCCATGCTCTGGTCTTCAGCTGTCTTCTTTGGCTGGAAGTGGATGTTGCTATTCCATTTGCAGGGGTCAGTCATCACACAGGGATCATGCACAGGGCAGCTCATTTTACACGCCACAGAAGGCAAGCAGGTTTATTTTGTTGCAGAAGAGACTTTGCACATCCCCACTGTGATAAATAGCCTGCCTTCAGTTCCCAATTAAAGGACAAGTTCACCTTTTGACCAAAAAGAATAAATTCACTTTTTTTGCAGGTAAAATAATGTGCATTATTTTTGGTTGCAGGTGCCTGGAAAGCATTGCACCAGTGGTCAGTAGTTCGGGATGTACGGACAAGCAGATACACTAACAGGGAGAATCAATGAACTACCACAGCGCCGTGGTAGTTCATTGAGAACTACAAGCCACTAAGGCTGTCAGGAATTGTAGTTCATTCGTTCACAGAACTCTGTGAATGAATTACGCAGCCATGTGGGCCGAGCCCTGCACAGCCGCACTCTATTCAAATAGTGACAACCTGTACAGGGAACTTCTCCCCATACTGATGTCACAGGGAGGGGAGGATCGGGCAGACGCTGCAGCATGTTATATGTTCCACCCTAAAAACAGGTGGGACATATAACATGTTCCCAAGGGTGAACTTATCCTTTAAGGCAGAGGTCTCCAAACTGTGGCCCTTTGCCAGCCTTTATCTGGCCCATGGGGCACTATTTCTCAATGACATGAGGCTCTATTCCTTCCACTGATGCCCAAAAATCCAGTGATACCGAACATGGGGCACTATTTCTTCCAGTGATGCCAAAGATGGGGCACTATTCCTCCCAATAATACCAATGATGGGGCACTACTCTTCCTCCTACTGACCACCAATCCTGAGGCCATGTTTATTTTCACTGATGCTGGGTCCAGGACATTTTCTACTCCTACTGCCCAATATCCGGCCTTCCTAAAGGCTGAATTACATTAAAATGGCCCTTTTGTTTGAAAAGTTTGGAGACCCCAGCTTTAAGGCCTCATTCACATGGGCATGTTTTCCAGGTTTGCCCACAGAGGGATGTACAGGTGTTCCATGCATTCCCATGTAGGCAGTCCCAATCATGCCAATTGGGATGCAATGACTGCACGGACACAACCACTGCACTCTATTTGACAGCCATCTGGTTTCTGGTGTGGAACTGCAAACGCAGACAGCGGTGTGCTTTTGGGGAGACGCAACAACATGCGTGTCTAATTGGGAACAGTGGCTGTGTCCATGCAGCCACTGCATCTCAATTGACATGAATGTCTACACGGGGGTGCATGGAACACCTGCATCCCCATGCAGGCAAACATGGCCCTTACACAGGCCTATGCTTAACCACTTGCCGACCGCACTATAGCCAAAAGATGGCTACAGTGCAGTCGTCTAGATCTGGGAGAGAGACTAAAGAATCATTGCAGCCCCATCAGTGACCATCAGTGCAGCTTATTAATGCCCATCAGTGCAGCCTCATCAGCACTTATCATTGGAGCCCCATTAGTGCCCATCAGTGCAGCTTATTAATGCCCATCAGTGCTGCCTCATCAGCGCCTATCATTGCAGCCCCATCAGTGACCATCAGTGCAGCTTATTAATGCCCAATAAGGAAGGAAATAAACTCTCTTGCGCTCTATGACCCAACCAGGGGTAGATAGATGGAACCAGGACTTGAAAGTTTCTACCACCAGTGCATATGGGGTTGTGCAGTTCCAAACAAGGCTGGGGAAGCCCGACCAATACTGCGAAGCGAGAACAAACAAAAAGCACACAAACCTTGCACATTACCTCAGTAAACCAAAATGTATTAAATACAGAATAATACAAACAACAAAGTATATCAAGCATGTAAGTCCTCAAGGAGACTAAGGATTAGTGCAGCCTGCACGAGTCCCATCATAAGAGTGGACACTCAGGGTACAGCTGACTCGTTTTAAAGGGCATCCCTTCCTCATCAGCGCCCATCATTGCAGCCCCATCAGTGACCATCAGTGCAGCTTATTAATGCCCATCAGTGCCGCCTATTAGCTCCCAATAGCGCAGCCTCATCAGCACACATCAGTGAAGAAGAAATATGACTTATCAAAAACAGTGGTCATTAATACCAACAAAAGAAAGCTCTGTCTCAAAAAAATTATAAACATTTCATATGGGTACAGTGTTGCATGACCACGCAATTTTCATTCAAAACTGCGACAGCGTTAAAGCTAAAAATTGGCCTGGGCAGGAAAGGAGTGAAAGTTCCCAGTATTTAAGTGCACTTGTGTGAACGAGGCCTAAAATTGGACTCCAGGAATTATATTTTTTCTTATTGGTATGACGTAAGTTTCCATATCTGATTCCCACTGTAAATCACTGTAGTGGTTGGTGCTATATACAAGAGAGCTGGGTTCTGTGTGAGCGGCTTCCCCTGTGCACACTGACCACAGAGGGTGGCTTGCTCATCACTTTCACCATTCATAAAACCTTATATTTTTTTTTTTCAATGAATACAAGGTGTTCTCTGATTGGATTAAGAGAACGCCGTTGAACATTAGCAGTGTTGAGTGGATGACCCCCTGAGGTCAGAGTTCAGAGGGGAAGCTGCTAGGGAAAAGATCTAGATGATAATGGCTCTTACTGTAGAAGCACCAACTATTAGAGTTATTTTCAGCATTCCCAGTGGTTCTCTGATATCATATTTGAATTCTTACATCGAGCCAAGCTGGGCCAATGTATGCAAATAAGATCATTTCTGGAGTTCAGCTTTAAAGCGCAAGTAAACCTACAGAACAAACAGAAAGCGCCCAAGCATCATGTGACACCTTCATATAACCTTTAATAAAAATTGTAAAATGTGGTACTGATAAACATTCTTTATAGACTTGATATATCACACAAAGTAGCCCACAGGAAGAGATCTGCTCAACCCTCACTGCACAGAAGACTACATCTTTTCTTCAATAAAACTAACTTGCTTGTTTGCAGTTTTCTAGTTTGACTGTACACTGATAGGTGCATGCATAGCTCATTGTAAGTTCTCAGCACAGTGCCTATGTGCCCATGTGTGAGAGTCATGCCTTACCATGCCAGCCAATCAATAGTAAAACACCCGGCATCCAGAAGTTGTTCATGCCCGGCAAGAAATTTAGGGACAATGCACACCACATGCAGTCTAGTGTGTTTTTTTTATGCATCAAAAATGGTTTGATAGTAGGTTACATGGTTTCCAATGGCATAGTTCACACCAGTGCGATCAGTTCCAGTGCGTTCCAGTTCCAAAAAAAAAAAAAATAGAACTTGCTGCATTTTTTCTGCACTGAACTGTACTGGAGAACAATAAAACACACCAGACACACGTCTTTATTCTTCAAGTTGAAGAAAAATAAAGGGGAAAAAAATGAGTTGGAACACCTAAAAAAATGCAACAGAACACGTAAAAAATGCTTATACAGAAACGCATCCGGACTGCGTTTCTACGGTGTGAACCAGCCCTTAATAGTCATGCTGCTGGAAAGGTGCTACGCTTTTGTGGACTGTAGTTCAGCTTTGATTGATGACCTTTGCTGCCAAACTTAAAGTGGAAAAAAACAGAGGCATGGTATACTTGATATTTTAGAACAATTGATGTAAAAAATTTTGGGTTTAGTTTAACTTTATGTCATTAAAGAGTCAAGCTTTTGAAATAGATAAAATAAAAG